GCAGCAATGGCATAGATGTAGACACTAATATAGCCTTTGCAATTGTGCAGGAAACTTGGCTTCATCGGTTTGAAAGCTATTGGGATCTCTTGAGTCCGAAGATTGAGGCTGACACGGTGAGAAATTTGATGGACATGAAAGCAAACTTAGGATCATTTGCAGCTGCTCTTAAAAGTAAGAATGTTTGGGTGATGAACGTCGTCCCGGAGGATGGACCAAACACACTTAAATTGATATATGACAGAGGCTTGATCGGCACTACTCATAACTGGTATGGCCAAAAAAAATATGAATTTTTTTCTGTTAAAGGCCATTTTTTGCACATTTCTTTCTCTATTTGCATTTTTTTCGTCTCCCCTTCCGTTTTTCTCTATTTGCACGAGTTAGGAACGGTGAGAAACAATTATCAGTGGAAGGAATACAATATGTCTGATGAAAGGCAAACTTCACATATCCTCAAACCACATGATCTTGTGTTTATTGATTTGGTCATTTTGGCAGGTGCGAAGCCTTTTCCACGTATCCTCGAACCTACGATTTACTCCATGCTTGGACCGTCTTTTCTGATATCGAGAAGAAAGGCTGCAGTGGTGAGGATTTATTACTCGAAATGGATCGTATTCTCCGTCCCAGTGGTTTCGTAATCATCCGGGACAAACAACCGGTGATAGATTTCATAAAGAAGTATTTATCAGCTCTGCACTGGGAAGCAGTGGCAACAGCTGATGCCGGTGGTGATTCAGATAACAAAGGCGATGTTGTGTTCATTGTCCAAAAGAAATTGTGGCTGACAAGTGAAAGCCTCAGGAATTCCGGATAGAATTATTTCAATCCTTATAGTTCTGCAGCACCAAAGAGATTAAGGTAAACCATTACTAAAATTGCAGTAAACAGTTTCATTTTGTAGCATTATATAATGGTTCACATTATTATTCTTTTACCCTTTTTTTTCATTTTGTTGTTATGAATACTTGGCAAGTCATAAACTGGTCATTGTGAGCTATAGGCTATTATTCAATTTTTGTTTTTCTCTATTTTGTTGTTCATAGTTACTTCAGCTGGTGGCTAATAATAACCATTTTAACGTAATATATACAATGCTGAAGTGCATAATCATTGTGGATTTTAACTTGCAAGTTTTTCCATAAATGAATATTCTTCTTACACATTCTCCTTTGCTTTACCTATAATGTTTTTTTTGGGGAGTAATTCCTGTAATGTTATTTGTTCTTGGTTGGTTAGGCTGTCTTCAAAGAGTTGTTCTTATCACTAGTTTAACATTGATTTATTCCCACATATCAAATTATCTCGGTGGTTAAAGAGATGATTGTTATATCTTGAGGTTCTGGATTCTAGTATGACGGTATATAAACGTTCATTGTTGAATGGTTGAATCTCTTTCAAACAAAAATTATCTTATAATCATACGAGAGTAATAAAAAAAATATTGATTTCTTCATGAGTGGGGGGATAATGTTTACTGTAACATAATTTGAATGACATTTGATCTAATGTTGAACGGTAAAGATTTAGTCCTCTTTAAAAAATTTAATTTTTATATATTTTTTATTTTTATTGATAATATATTTTCATCTCTTAAAATTTTATAAGTTTGTGTCTTCTTTAAAATCATGTGTTTGTACATGATTTCATGGGTAATTTACCTATTAATTAAAATACTCAATATCCTAATGTTATCAACATATTTTAGTGTATCGCTTTTGCTTTATTATAACAAAATGATTTAATATTATTTTTAAAAATATTTTACATACATATTATATAATGCAAATAATTATTTTTTTATTTGGTTGTCCTCTCAGTTTTAAGGTTTTGCCTTAGCTAATCTGGATTAACTTACGTCACACGCCTGGTTTTAATAGTTGAATCTTCCAACATAGATTTTATGCATATACAGACTCAAACTTAAAACATTGCTTAAGCGGAATCAAACTGTTTACCACTTGAATCAACCCATGTTAGTAATGTAAATAGTTATTAATCACACACATAAATATATTTATACAAAAATATAAATATTATCATTATCAAGTCTGAATTATATCCTTTGTTAACCTTAGTTATTTAAGAATTTTCCTTAGTAGGTGTCTAATATTCTAACGTTATAATTTTAAGTGTTTATAACGTAAAAATTGTAAAAAATTATTGATTAATATTGTCATATTGCCATATTCTTTTAAATTTTTATCCTAAAAAGTATCACTAAAAAAACTCCTATCTCGTCCCCTCCCACGCTCCTCCCCAACTCCCAACCCAAACCCACCAAGTTTAAAAAGGTGGGATTATTGGGATTAAATCTAACTAAATCTCCACCCATTAAATTTAGGGTTAGAGATTTATGGGTTTAAGTATTTAGGGGTTTGGGGTGACGGAAAAGATGATGGCTGACAAGTGGGTGGATGGTAATAGAGACGGTGATAGCAGAAGATTGACAAAGATTGGTAATGGGGTTGAAATGAAATTTTTTAAGATTATGAGGTTTTTTTTTGTATTTTTCAAATTGGAGTTTTTTAAATTATATATATATATATTTTTTTAATTTTTTTAAAATAAAATTTTCAAAAATATAACTATGACATATTTCATTTAATAAGATTTTTAACGGTCATTTCAACGTATATACCTAAAAATCTAACGAAAAAAGTATTTGACATCTACTTTGAATTAGAAACATTTTAAAAACTTAATGTTAGCAAAAAAATTATAATTTGAGCATTTTTACATTTAAGCCTAAAAACCAACAACAATTAAATAACAATGTCCATACCATATACAACTGGCAACATCAAAATCAAATCATTTTGATCAAGTTTTTTTTGAGATTCTAAAAACTTAGGAATATTTATATTAAGGGTAAACTATGGAGTTGGGCATTTTTGTTTCAGTTTTATAAACGTATAGTCACTCAAATAAAAAAAACTTAATTTGTAGTCACTTTCGTTTCGTTTTAATTAAGATGTGGTAGCTTTCGTTTTGTTTTAATTAAGATGTGGTCACTTATCCAAAACGACCATTAAAGGTTTAATATTGCTCATAAAATGATTTAATTTTTGTTTTAATCCTTAAACTTTAGATAAAATTTAATTATGTACATTTTTGTAAATCAAAGCAATTTAGTGACAAGTTTGCAATTTACCATTTTTTTTTAATTATGGAATACTAGCAGCTGAAGCTGAAAACAATGGAGTCCCCATATTTCGAACCAAATGCTTGAAATTTCTATTCGATGCATCTAGTTTCTTTGTCAATGCTCTATTTGGATATGCAGTTGGCGAAGACGGCGAAGATGACCCAATGCTTCGATCGGGAACAACATGTGATTCTGGGTTTTGGACGAACATCGGAGACAACAAAGGAGATTGCACACTTCGATTATTTGGTTCCCCCCTGTCCGGTGACTTTGAAGTTAAAGACAGCGAGGGAGATTGTACATTTTCATTGGAAGCATTTGGAATTCGTGGCAAATCAACTGAAATCCTAGCCGGAGGCAGAGAAGGTTGAACTTGCTCGAGTTCGGGAGATTTCGGGTTTGATCTTACCGGACTCGCACTAGCCGATGGACATATACTAAGTGATTTAGACCTGGCGGGTGAACTTCAACTCGAAGATGAACTCGAGTAAGTGCTGATAGATTCAATGCTTTTCACAGCAATCGCCGCAAATGCTCTTCTTGACCCGGATCCGTTTCCTCTAGGACTATCTCGACTGCCAGAAGATCCTCTCGGTGAATAAAAATGCTCTTCTTCAGTAACCAACACAACTTCACTCGCTCGAAAGTTTCGACCAGTGTTCTGTCGAGACAGCGGCGGTAACGGCTGCAGCTCCGGGGAATCCGTTTTCCTGGGATCGAATCGAGCACTGGCCGGCGAATTAAAAGAGCCACCCATCGACTCCGCTCCACGCATTTACCAACATACCCAAATAAAGCAATTCGGAGCTAGTGGTGGAAGTTGTCCTCAGCTTACCAGCAAGAACATGATTGGAGTACAATCTGCTGCTATTGTTGGACGTTAAGGTCTTGTTATCATCCAAAGACCCACCTTTCTGCCTGCGTCGGCAGTAGAAGAAGATGAGGAAAGCAGCGACGATAGAAGCGAAAACAGCGGAGATGACGGCGAGGATAAGGAGGACGTTGGAGTTGTGGGTGGTGGGAGAAAGAGCGTGGGGGAGAGTAAGGGAGGAAATGGTGGCGGGAAAAGAGGATAAAGTGGTCCTTAACTATAGATCGTTACTTTTTTTAGTACTTTGACCATTAAAAATTATAAAATGATCATTTAATTATTGACATATTTTAAAATCGTCCTTTTTTATTATGTTCTCGAACCTAATATCTACGGGTGTAAATGAACCTAGCTTGAATGAATAAATTTATGTTTCTATTTGTTTGTTTATTTTTTAAGATATTCATGTTTAGTTTGTTAGGTATTTACGGGTGTAAATTCATTTTTTTCTCTCTTTTCATTGAAATGGCGTACGAGTGTTGCTTGAACATTTACACAATATAGTATTTCAGGCTTATTCTACATTCGGTACACCTGACTATATCGCTCCAGAGGTTTTGCTGAAGAAAGCATATGGAATGGGATGCGATTGGTTTGTAAATTAACATGAATTCTTCTTTGTAATATACTTATATTGTGATTTGTGAGTGATGGTTATAATTATATTTTTTATGCTTTTCAGGTGGTCTCTTGGTGCTATCATGCATGAAATGCTTGTTGGATATCCGCCCTTTTATTCGGATGAGCCAATGTCAACCTGTCGAAAGGTGTGTGTTTTCTATTATCTACTTCTATATATCACAACTCTTCATTGTACTTTTTATGTTCATTGTTAGAGATGATTAAATATTGTCCAATTCAATGCTTAACCTGCCCTCTATATTTTCCAGATCGTAAATTGGAGAACCCACTTAAAATTTCCAGAAGAAGCAGAACTATCCCCAGAAGCAAAAGATCTTATCAGTAAACTTCTATGCAATGTTCAACAGAGGGTTGGCACAAAAGGCGTCCATGAGATTAAGGTGTTGTGTGGTCTGTCCTGTCCTAGATTCTTCGATTTTGTTTCGTAAGATTGCTAAATTCGAAATGAACTGGCTGTATCCGTTTGCAGAATCACCCTTGGTTTAAGGGTGCTGAATGGGACAAATTATATCAAAGGAAAGCTGCATTTATTCCTGAAGTCAATGATGAGTTGGATACACAAAATTTCGAGAAGTTCGAAGAGGTATATAATTAGTGTTACAGTGGCTATAAATATGCAATTCTCCTTAGACGTATTCTTATCATTCTCTTTTCTTTCATGCACCAGGTTGACAACCAAATTCCATCTGCAGCAAAATCAGGTCCATGGAGAAAAGTTAGTGCAATTTTATATATTTTCTGTTAAAATGTTTAGAACCAAGAATGAGTAATTAGTACCGAACAAAAATTTTATATATACTGATCCTTAACCAAGTTTGCTAGAAATTTCCATGATTGCCATTTCGGAAATTAGTTGGTACGATTTCTTTGTGCTGGGGTTTTTCTGTTGGTTCATGTATGAATTCTTTGGAAATCTGCCTTTTTTTTCTCCTTAAATACCAAATCCAGTTTCATGTGATTTTTTTTTTCTTGGGAGACATACCGTCTTCTGGTCTGTTGCCTTAAATACCATTTTTAATTTATATTTTGGTATGTTTCTTAAATGATTGAAATCAACTTTCTAAGGAAAGCACAGATATAATGAAGTCCGTTGTAAAATATGTAATACTATTGAAATCATCCTATTTATCATGGTTAAAAAGCGATACTACATCCAGAATGTTATTCAAATTTTCCCCTTTGATGCAGATGCTTTCATCCAAAGATGTAAACTTTGTTGGTTACACATACAAGAACGTCGAAATTGTAAACGATAATCAGTTACCTGGCATCCGTATTTTGCTTCCTCCCTCGGTTTAACTTTTTGTCCTTAGTTACTCCTGCTTCCCATGCATGTAAGCTTATCTTTTTATTCTCGAATACAATTTGCGTCTTTGTGAAGATCATCGGTGTGTGCTTTTCTCAATCAATCCCCATTCAATTAGTCTGTTTTTCTCACGAGTTTCTGCGTATGACTGATTTTTATATATTCCATCTTTTCTGCAGTTGAATTGAAGAAGTGCTCTAAGCCGAAGAGACCCTCCATCAAATCCCTTTTTGGTAAGATATTATAACTATTATTGGGTTAAGTTTGGGACAATGTGAGTGGTCTTTTCGAATCGATAGCATATCGATCAGGCTGTGGTTCATTCCGGTTTTGCTTGGTCTATGTTTTGCAGAGGATGAGTCGGTCGCGGCTGCCTGTCAACCTGTTCAAGGGAGCTTCTTAAACCTCTTGCCACCGAAAATAGAAGCCCCCGAGAATGGTTTGAGGAAATGAATTCCTCGATATCGCCGGAATGCAGAGATGGGAAGAAAATGAAATGGCGTTTGTTTTGCAGTCTTAACGTTTCGGATTTTCAATGGAAAGTGGTTTGAGATTTGATCAGATTGGCTGTTTGAATCAGGTATAGGAGATTTGTTCCATGTACAATGATATCTGGTAAAAAGTAAATATTCTTTCATATTTATTTGTGTAATTATTTTATATATTAATATGTTTTGTTTTGTCATCTCAATGCCCCAATTGTTCTTAACCAAAACAAAAGATGTACGAAGAAATTAAACTAAATTACTTTTACATTACGGTAATTCTAATTTAGTTTTACATTCGTTCATAACCTTTTTTATTTCTATTTTCATGGTGTAATTGTCTTATTCACTTGGATCAATGCAAGTCCTTTGGGTCATTTATAAATCTCTTGAGCATGATAGTATGATAATAAGTTGTTTGAGCATATTAATGAATTGTAATTGTTAGAATTTGTAGGGTTTTTATCTTGGAAGTTGTGGCAGAGTAGTTGAAAGATTTTCAGTCCTGTTTATTTCCCCCAAGTCATGGTAGAGCAGACGAAATATACATGTTCTAAAGTTGTGGATCGTATTTCTCCCAAGTTGTGGTACAGAAGACGAAAGGTTCTCAATTTCCTCTCTCTAAAGTTGTGGAAAGGCCCTTTCAGATCAATCTTTCTTTCTAAAGCTATGGTAGAATTGACCAGTTCCATCTCTCTCCAAAATTGTGATACAACAAAGTAACAAACCAAAGGATTCCAAGTTGTGATGGAGCGGTCCTTAAGATATGAAAAAAAAAAAAGGAAAATAGAAAGGAAGAATGATTGACGTCGGTTCCATATCATTGTCAGAATTATATTTAAAAAAAACCAAAATGGCCGGTTTTAAAAATTATTGAGATTAAAGATTAAGATTTCATCATATTCATTTACTTGACTTCATTGCGGTATAGTTATATAGAGGCTTGTTAATGAGTTGAGAGACACCAAAAATGCCAAAAGCTGATGTAAAGGTTATGAATGATTTATGGATGATCGACTCTCAGATTTTTCAAGATGTTTTTAGATCCTTCAATGAGCCAACTATTGATATCAACCGTTGAGTCAATTGAGTAATGAATCGACACATAAAATTTATTTTTTCAAAGAATCGGAAATTAACACATTTGAGTAGTTCAACTTTTAAACAAATCTACGTCTACTTCAACTATCCTCAAAATCTTTTTAAAAAAATATAAATAGCAAACAATGGAAAATTCTACTGCTAATAATTTACACAATTTAAGCTTACATACTGAACAACACTATAATTTAGGTCCTCGGACAACTTTTTAACTCAAATAAATATTTATAAAATCAATTAACTTAATGTAATATCAAAATTCATGTATAAGTTTACAAAAGAAAATCAATTTGATTAATGCACAAAGGTAATGGACAACCGTCCTATGAAAAAGGCCAAAACTGTCAAACTAGGGGTATATACTCATTCATTCTGATTTTAGTAACAAAACCACCCCATATGAAACACGTGGAAAGAAGCTAGAGATGTATTGATTCTGCATTATTTTCCTCACAATAAAAATTATGGAAAGGAAACAAACTTCACTCGCATGTATTTACAACAACCTCTATACCTCAAACTAATTTCAAAAGGGAGCCTCAAATGATTCATCCCAGATATCACCACTTCCATTTGATGAATCCTCAACATCTTCTTCCATTGAAAGCCTAATGTATTCTCTATGAGAAAACCGATCCCACTCTGTCATTGTTGGATTTTCACGCTCCTAATATAATTATATCTTGTCATCAGCACTTGAGGGGGAAAAACAATTAAAATAAGACATAATGACAAATTTACTTCCGAATGTTTGCATAAACTATCACTTTGATCCTTATTACATTAGATTCTTATTTCCTTTATAACTTTAGTCTTGCTAGTCAAGATCCTAAATGTTAGGGATCTTTATTTCCATTAAGATTATTTCCTGTCACTAAAGGCCTATTAAGGGCGGCTAACATTGAATAAAGAAGATAAGCAATTACTCTATTAGAAAACATTATTCATAGAGGGGTTCCATCAAGGGCGAATCTGCTTCTCTGATTAACCATAGGTCAGAGCAGAAATTCTTTCACGTCTAGACCTGTGACTAGATCCTACGCCAAGGTTCATAACATCTTGGTGTCAGAGCCAGTTATCATGGGTAACACAGCGGATTTGACAAAGTTGAATACTTTCATGGAACAAATGACTACAAGGCAGCAAGCATTAGAGGAGCAGATGGCTGGATTATCTCATTCGATCCAAAAGACGGCGAAGGGGTATCTAAAGGGAAATACCAAAGAGAAATTTCGCACCTATAATAGTGTTGGAGATCCTTTAGGGTGGCTGAAATGGTGCGAAAATTTATTTGGTAATCAGCAGACTAATGAAGATGACAAGGCAGGCTTAGTAGCAATTCATCTTTTAGGAGAGACGCAATTACGGTTTGATCAAATGGAAGAAGAGGAGGCAATCCTTGATTGGGGGCATTTCAAGGAATATTGTCATGTGAGGTTTGGACCACCTGAGTAATAATCCTTTGGAGGAACTTGCCAACCTAAAACAGACCGGGACTATATAAGAATATCAAAGCCAATTTCAATCACTATTGGCTAGGATTTCTGATCTTAAACCAAGACAACAAGTAGATCTCTTTATTGCTAGGTTGGTAGAGGAATTTAGAATCAACGTTGAGATGCAACAGCCAGGAAACCTAGGAGTTGCAATGAACATGGCTTGAGAATTGGAACGTAAACAAAAGGTCTCTTCAAAAATTTCATCTCGAACCAACCTTAATCGGCCAACTTCCCAAAAACACTGACAACAATCTGATCATTCCGACGACTAAGAGCTTTAATGCAAATGGAGGGGGACAAACAACGAAACCAATGGGGAACATCAACAAAGCAAGTTCTTCAGCACCTTTTATCAAGAGACTGACACAAACAAAGCAGAAAGACGCTCTAAGGGGATGTGTTATAATTGTGATGAGTCTTATTCCTTGGGCACATATTGGATTGAAGTACCAGATTATGATGGTGAGCAAGATAATGATGAGGTGGAAGATCTAGAAATTTCTTTACATGCCATCAGCATGACTCGTATTTCTTCTACTATTCAATTGATAGCAAAGTGGTCAGAGTGACAGTGCTAGTACTTGTTGATTTGGGCAGTACACACAACTTGTTACATCAAGGTTTGATGCCAAGGATGGGATTGGAAGTATGGGAAAAACCAGGACTACAAGATTGTTTGGCTAATGGGAAGCGAGTGCCTAGCATAGGTATTTGTAAATCAGTACAGATCATAGTTGCAAATGACGGCTTTCAAGCTTATTTCTATACCGTACCACTAGAGGGGTTTGATTTGATTTTCGGGATAAAATGGTTGTGTTCTCTTGGTCTGATTTTATGAGACTTCAACTCTTTGATGATGAAATTTATTGTAAACGGAAAGGAGATACTAGAGCGAGGGCAGTTTCTAGAGGTAGTTCCACAACTTTGTTTAATGCAAGGATCATATTGTAGTCAGACCATATCGATATCCACATTTTAAAAAAGATGAGGATTTGTCGCATCTCATGACGATTCCTTCCCCCTCGAGTCGAAATTCTTGATACAGTCCGTCATGAATCAAAAACTTCTCCAGAATTATTACAACACCAGCAACGAATTACTCAAGGAGAATTGGGGTCAGATTGGGTTGTGCAAGATGGGTTGATTTTCTTCAAAGGGATGAAGCTTGCAACTTTAGAATTTGTACAAAACTGTTTAGTTTGTCAATGCCATAAATGGCAAAATTTACAACCTACAGGATTGCTTCAATCCCTTCCAATTTCACAACAAATTTGGGCTCATGTCTCCATGGAGGGTCTACTTAAGATTAAAGGGAAATTTAAACTTATGATGGTTGTGAATAGACTATCAAAATACACTCAATTTCTTCCCTTGGCTCATCTGTTTACTGCTATATTTGTTGTTGTTGTCTTCTTTGCGGAGGTATTTCAATCAAAATCTATAGTTTTGGACACTGGACAGGTTGTTCTCGAGAAGACACCATTTAGGAATCATTTGAAGTTCTACAAAAAAGCTTATCCTGAAATTGAGCTTGAGGACAAGCTCAACTCTGAGAAAGGGAGTATTGATGTGTATGCCTTTATTGGAAAGCAATATTAGGGAAGGAAGGCAATAAATATATTAAGGGCAGAAAATTAGTGTTTTATTTGTTTCCTCTATTACACTAGATTCTTACTTCTTTTATAACTTCAGTCTTGCTAGTCAAGATCCTATATGTTAAGGATCTTTATTTCCATTAGGATAATTTCTTGTCATTAAAGGCCTATTAAAGGCTGGTAATATTGAATAAAAAAATAAGCAATTACTTTATTAGAAAACTTTACTCACAGAGGGTGTTCTGTCAAGGACGAATTTGCTTTGATTAACCATAGGTCAGAGCGAAAATTCTTTGAGTCTAGACTTATGACTAGATCCTATACCAAGGCTCATAACAAATACCTCCTCTTGGAAGAAAACCGTTAGTCAATAAGGGTCAAAACATGTTGTTCATGTAGCATTCTGACATATGCTTAATTGTTGACACGCCACATACCACGTCATCACTACGGGTGACGTGACATGTGTCGTATCATTACTTTCATAACGTGACACATACCACATCAACAATTAAACACATGAAAGTGCCACATCAACAACATGTGTCGATCGTTTGTCAACTAACGGTTTCCTTCCAACATGAGTTTTTAATCAAAAACTGAAATGTTGGAAGCTAAATTACCCTTAAAAAGAATAGGAGTCAAAATAACCATTTATGCAAACGTTGGGGAACAATTTGTCATTATGCCTTAAAATAATGGTAATGTTCAAAGTTAAACATGCATTTACCTGACGAATAAGGAAAGGGTCTCGACTTTCAAAAGCAATAAACTTGTTGAGGTTGAAAAGAATGTTGAATACGTTTCCGGATAGTTTGCAGCCTTTCAAGTCACGAAGAGTGATGTAACCCCCATTCTGTAATCAGCCAATCATTGTATTAACACTGGTCATGCAGAATTATGTTGTATGCACTAATACATGTCTACATGCAGTCAAAAGACAAATGAATCATCAATATAGAATCCAGGGACGACCTCTGGTCCAATCATGTCAATAATCTGGAATAATATGTCCTCAAATTGCACTGGTTCTTGGGTTATACACTCCATCCGGTGCAACTGCTCCTCGTAAAAGAATTGCATTTCATTTGGTGTGAGCAGCCCATTCCCATCAAAATCAATGCATTTAAACCTGAATTGAACAAACTGGCTGGTCAGGTAATGTTTGTCATTATTGAATATAGATTATCCCTAAATGACACTAATCATGATGATAATCAGAGATTGCTAAATTTAAGTTCTTCAAACGTGACAGGCAGATCAGAAACTTATTTATCAAAGCAGTCAAAAGGAAGAATGAATTAGGATCCTTTCCATTTGTTTGCCCTGATGAATGATTCACAGGAAAAATCAGTAAATATAAGACTCTAGCAACATGTGATCACTTTCGTATCATAAACAAACCATCGACAAGTTGAATTACACTGAAACAGGAAATCAACAAGTATGTATGAAGAACAAAAATACTGAATGATTCTGATTTCTGAGTCTAAAGATTGCCACTTGTAAGCACCATCATTTTTTATTCCACCATATTTTATTCAACATCCCATGCCACTACCATTTTTTATTCAACATCCCATGCCACTACCATTTTATATTCAATATCCCATGCCACCACCATGCCCCCACGTGAAGCACCCATGTTTCCACTAATTCCAAGCCTACTCCACGCCAAAGCTGGCCCATCCCCTGCCAAATGCACCATCACCAACAGCAAGCAACTTTAATTATTTGCATTTAGCTTGTATTTAGCTGGGGAAGGGTATAGAACAGGAGGAAAAAGAGATACGAAAAAAATGGGAGGGGAGAACATTTTGTAACGAGAGGGAATTCGAGAGCAAGATTGTAAATCCTTTCCCTCACCATTCGAAAGATGAGAGAACATTTGTAAGAGGAGATCTGATCCTCATTTTCCAAGAAGCAATAGAAAACAAATAACATTTCATTGGTATCTTCTATTTTTCTTTTGATTTCCAGTATGTTCTATGTATGTCCTTATTTTGAAGCAAGTAGAAACCAAGAGATAGGAAAGAATTTTATTTCGTTACCTTCATTGCTTGTTGTCCCATCGATTGCCTGAGTACTTATCACCGTGATAGCTTCCAGTTCATCCGTTCGTATCGTCGGGATTGAGAGATAAGCAGTTGGGTTTCTGTCCGGTTCATCTAAGAGAGAAGGGTGTGAGTGGAGAGTAGAGAGTGTTTAGAGCGGCGCCGGTTTAAGCCGACTTACGACTTGAGTTTCAGCCTCTAGTTTCGTCGAGCGAAGAGAGATGAGGGGAGAGAGGTGTCGAAGGTGGTCATGTTTTAGTTTGGGAATGGTTTTAGGTTTAGTATAGAGGATGTTCTGTTCTTAGGTTAAATGTTAAGCTAAAGTTTTAAGATTTACATAAAACGACAGTGTTTTGAATTAGAGTAATTAGTTCTTTAGCCGACCTAGGGGTAAATTTATGAGAGCACTCCGCTCTATTTTGGGTTAATGCAATTTAGTCCTCAGTGTTCTGTAATTTTGTTAGTTGATATTTTAGTCCCTAAAGTCAGTAATTTTGGATTTTCATTCGTTTGTACATTTGGTATGCTTCTTTGGATAATTACATTTTAGTCCAACATGCAATTATGGGTTTATTTCGATTTTAACACATGAAATGTGATTATTTGTGTTACATGACTTGGCTTTTGTTTAATTTATGGTCTTAGACTTAGAATTATTTGCTTATTCATTTTAGCCATTATGTTGTTTGTTATTCATTTTCATGATAATGTGGATGTAAATATATTAGTATACAGTGATTAGTGTTGGATTAAATAGGTTTCATTTAGGATTAATATTAGAGCCTATATTTTTAGATTTGAGCCCCTAAGTTCCTTAATTTTCATAATTTGACTCCGTAGGTTAGAAAAAAAGCCTTAATTTATTTTTTAGTATAATTAGGATTAAATAAAATTTTGATTGATTGCATTGTTTTTAAAAATTAAGGAAATGTTCACTTATTAAGGAGTTAATAGTATATCCTACGCGATCGTGCTCAGGGGTGACTACTGGTAATTCCCTAAATAAGCTGACATCCTTTTCAAAACTACACCATGTTTTCTAAAAATAAGGCAATATTCGGTTATTAGGCACAATAGCTGATCTTCAGCATTTATGCTCGGGAGTGAATGCTATCGGCCTTAATAAACGAATACCCTTTTTAACTTTGCATCCTTAATGATTTTTAAATTAAATAAAAATTGAACTCAAAATTTCCGATTTTAAATATAGGATAATCAACTAGGTACCAATTTTTGGGCGATTGTGGGAGTGCTAATCCTTCCCCACACGTAACTGACTCCCGAACCTGATTCATGGATTTTCGTAGACCCTAAAACTCAGTATTTTATTAAAATAAAATGTTTTATTAAAATAAAATGTTTTATTAAAATCACTCAGTTTTTACGGTGTTCCAATCTCACCTTAAATGATCGGTGGTGACTCATCACATTTTCGAAATATTTTCAAAGAGAACCCCGAGTCGGTATCGATCTTTCCCCGCCCGGGCGAAAAACGATGCCGACAGCTTGGCGACTCCGCTGGGGACTTTTGTTTTTAAAAACAAATTGAGAGTCGAGCCACGAGTTGGTTACCCTATATTTATTATTTTGGAAATTATGAGTTCGATCTTATTTAATTCACGGTTCATTATGTTATTTAAAAAAAACAGATTTCTTTCTGGTTAATTGTTGAGTTAATCGATTGACGGAATCGGCCAAGAGGGGGTGAATTGGCAATTAAAAATTTGGTGGAAGCTTTTGCAGAAAATTAAAAGTAATTGCACAGCGATTTAGAGTGGTTCGACTTTCTCAACCAAAGTCTACGTCCACTACCTTAGCTATCCACACTAAGGATTTTCCACAAATTCACTAATTTGTCTTTCTTTTGAGGACAAAGAGTAACCTTACAAACCCTCAAGAATTATACCCCAAATTCTTAAGAACACTCTCTCCCAAAGAGAACAATACAAATTTGCAAACTTACAAGGAAATCCTCACAAGGTAAATTGTTTACACAATTCTAGAACAAAGAAAACAACACTCAAGAATGAATACAATTGAGTACAAGTAGTGTTCTTGAAAGCAAAATGAATATTGAATGAAAAATAGGCTTGAAATGCTCAAACTTGAGGTTTGATGCTTTCTCTTTGATTCTCTCTTGATTCTAGTTGCTTGATGTTTCTTGTTGTTGATCAATGGCTTCTAAGCTTGTTTAAATACACCTTCAAATGATTCTAAACGTTGGGGATGATTAGTGGAGTCAATAGAGCCGTTTAAGTGTGAAAACAATTAATGAAAGTGGACGGGAGCGTCTGTGCATCGATGCATGCCCTAGGTGCATCGGTGCATCAGTGTAAAATTCAAATATTTTGATCGTTTGACTCTCATTGCATCGGTGCACTAAGAGTGCACCGATGCATAAAATGCATTCAATGTTTTGAAAAAAGTCTGAGTGCATCGATGCATGGTCTTGTGCATCGATGCATCAAATGCACTGAGTGCATCGATGCATGGTATGTGCATCGATGCATAAAATGCATTCGATGTTCAAGAAATTAATTGATGCATCGATGCATGGATTGGTGCATCGGTGCATGCCCTTGAAAAATTGATTTTAGGCTTGATTTTGGTTCAAAATACTTTGTGAAAATTTGTTTAAAAATAGTTTAAGTATAAAACACAAATTTACACATTTAGTAAGGTTTAAAATTGATCTTGAAAGACTTGGAGTAATATTTTGATATTCGAGTAATTAAATCGAATATATTTTTAGAAAATCTTTTGTAAAATCTTAAAATTCATTTAACTTAATTTGTTATGTCGAAACATCAAAATATTTTTCAACAATCTCCCCCTTTTTGATATAACAAAACTCTTGAGTAATTTTAAGATTTTCTTTGAAAATAAGTTTTGAAATCAATTTTGAAATTACTCCAAATTACTCCCCCTTACTATAACACTTCTCCCCTTTAAAACTTTTAACACTTAACACTTCTCCCCCTTTTTGTTAAATAAAAAAGACTCAAAAACTGAGTGAAAGAAGGCTTTGAAAAACATAGCCAATTGATTAAACATTTTAATTGAATATAGCTTAAGCTGCTAAGATCAAATATCAAAAGAGAGGTTAGTCATTAGTGTTCATAATCAATATTCAAATCAAATGTGAAATTGTAAATTGGTCATAATGCAACTAAGATGTCAATAATGCAAAAATTAATTAACATGAAGCTCATAAAGATCAAACCAAACAGTTCAAACATCCAATAATAGTTAAATAATTCAAAAACAGCAAAATGTTTTAACAATCCAAGTTTTAAGTTTTAATCCCAAATACAATCAAAATAAAATAAGTATAGTCATCCATAAAAGGATCGGGAGGCGGAGGAGGAAATCGGGCTTGCATCTCAAGAGAGAGAGAGCATCCATGCGTGCAAGCATCTCCCTTTGAAACTCCATCTAACAAGCTTCCAAAGTGTCTAAGCGTTGATTTACTGCTTCGTGAGTAGCAGTCAAGTGGGATTCGATAGAAGCATACCGTAAATCAAATGTCTCAAAAAACGAACGAAAATATGGAGGCATTTGATCTTCTTGTGGAGCTGGTTCTGGTGCAGGCTCGTCATCGAGTACGTGATCATCGATGTCTCGCATAAGCTGTTGAAATTCAGGATCATCGTCAGTAGCCGGAGCCGGAGGAGGAAGAGGAGGAGGAGCACGAGAGGAGCTTGGAGCAGCTCGTGAGGAACTAGCTCCTGGAGTTTGCTTACCGGGTCTAAAAACCCATTGACCGGTTATCTCATCTTGTTTCCAATCTGCTTTCTTCAAGGAAGTAAGATTGATTTGGTTTTGGAGAGGGATAGGATTATTGAGAGAGACATCTAGACCAAGTTTGATAAAGAGGTTACTAAGAAGACATCCATAAACTAATGTTTCGACATGTTTTGAAGGAACAATGTTTATGACATCAACTAGTTGACTGAAGATAATATGGGGTAGATTGATTTTGATTTTATTCTTGAGACAGTGCATCCACCACAAATCCCTAATACGAAGAGTGGAGTACCTACC